GGTTTTGGGGTACCCTAAACCCTAAACCTTACAATTCTAATAAGGACCCCCCCCAAAGCTCGAGGCCTCAGGCTCGGGGCTTCTGCCCCCGAAGCTTCGATGGTCCAAGGCTCAGGCTCCCAATAGCCCAGGAAACCTGAAACTCTGTGGTTGAGGTCTAGAGGCTTCCTTTTAGAGGTTTAGGGTTTAGGGTTTAGGGTTTAGGGTCTATCCCAAAGAACCCTAAACCCTCAACATCCCAAAAACCCTAAACCCTCAACATCCAAAAAACAAAACCCTAAACCCAAGACACCCAAAAGCCTTACACCCCAAACCCTGAACACCCAAAAACCCTAAGCCCTAAGACAGTTCCAAATTTTAGGTTTACTTTAGGGTTTAGGCCCCAGACTTAAACCCGGTATTCAGGATATGTTTTGAGGGTGGGAGAGGGATTCCAGGTGAACCTTCGGAGCTTCGGTTTTCTGATCCATAACCTTCAGGGTTTAGGGCTCAGGGTTTAGGGTTCAGGGTTTAGGATTTAGGGTTTAGGGATCCTAACCCGTGAAGACTACCCTTGTAGTTGGTAAGGATCCGCTTCGCTGGATCTAATTCGCCTTTGGATACCCCAACCTTCAACCGTGAACCCTAAACTCTTCAACCTGAACTCACCACCCTAAACCCCTAAAGCCTATAAACCCCTAAACCCTAAACCCTAAAACCTATAAACCCCTAAACCGTATAAACCCCAAGCCCCACATGGTTTCAGCTGCATGGGGTGAGGGTTCCTGCTGTATTTCCAGCCGCTCCGTGCCTCGTTCAACACGTGCAGGCTCAACTACTCAGCTTGGCGACTTGTGCTTAGGGTTTTAGGGTTTTAGGGTGTAGGGTTTAGGGTTTAGGGTTGAGGTTTTAGGGTTTTGGGGTTCAAGGTTAAGGGTTTTAGGATTTAGGGTTTGAGGGCTTTAGAACTGGCTTGCCGGGCTTTCAGGAAGAGATTAGGGCCTGCGGCGTGTTCAAGCCTACCGCACCTGGAGGTTTCTCTGACCCTATAAACCCTAAAGTCCCCAAACCCTTAACCCTATAAACCCTAAAGTCCCTAAACCCTTAACCCTATAAACCCTAAAGTCCCTAAACCCTATACCCTATAAACCCTATAAGCCCTAAAGTCCCTAAACCCTTAACCCTCTCAGCCCTAAAGTCCCTAAACCCTTAACCCCAAAAAAAACCCTAAACCCTAGACCCTTAACCCTGTAAACCCTAAAGTCCCTAAACCCTCAACCCTATAAACCCTAAAGTCCCTAGACCCAAAAGCCCTATAAACCCTAAACCCTAGACCCTTAACCCTATAAACCCTAAACCCTATAAACCCTAGACCCTTAACCCTATAAACCCTAAAGTCCCTAGCCCTATAATCCCTATAGCCCCAGGTCTTCACACCCTCAAACCCCTGAGCCCCGGCAGCGAAAGCGCGAGCATCCGAGAAAGCGAGGGTTTAGGGTTTAGGGTTTAGGGTTGAGGGAGGAGGGAGTGAATGGGTGAGTGAGCTCATCGCGAAGAGCCCAAGACAGCACACATCGAAATAGTGATAATAGAGAGGCCTTGATGATCAGAATAGGGTTTTGGGCCCATTATACTATAATTATAATAAAGGAACCCCGCAAAAAAAAGTATTGGTAATGATTTATCACCGCAGTTACTGGTCGATCATGCCGATCTGGGCAACATATGGAGCAAGTGGTGGTGCTATCCTGTACTGTCACGTTGGACATCCTGTTCCAACACACCGCTCATTTTATAACGGTTTCAGTAGAGCTGTTCTTGACGAGTATTCCCATGAGCGCACATCTACCTAAGTCTATGCTTTTGGCTGTAGTTGCTACTGTTGAAATGGATGTTTGTGTGATCATACGATCGGTATCGATTGTTGTTGTTGCTACTATTCTGTAATTGTCTCTGAGTTACTTGCGTGGCAAGGACCATGGCTGTTATGATGAAGTTGTTTAAACAAACTTTGACAATTGAGGAGCATGCTTTGAGGTACTGTGAGCAGAGGGTTCCGGTGTAGCCACGCATGGCGCATGATCTTCCTGATTGCCTGCTTTCCACCTTACATCTGGAGTCATCAACCGTCAAGCGAGAACTCATGAGCCAAACCTTCCGCGAATACTCGACCAGCAGGGTAGGGCTACATTCCCAACTTTGGGAAGATCACTATAAGTGGGCTTCAGAGACTAACACTGTTCATCCTCATGACGCCATCATCCACCAATATCATCCCCCCTCCACCATTGCCATTACGAGCATCAGCGGTCAGCATTCATACTCATCGTTCAGCTCTCTCGTCATTCAACTCCCAGCAGCCGTCAACAGCATCATTTTCCCCCTGATCACAATTTGCTTTCTCCCTCATCAAAGAAATCAGCAGCATCATCAGCTCCATTACCATCCTCACAATCATCATAAACACCAACAACATCTCATCCACACCATCATCATCACCACTATCATCAGCCTCATGTTCGCCACCACCATCATCATCATCACCATCATCACAACATCAACAACATCATCACCACCCATCGCCTTCATGATCGTCACCATTATCGTCATCACCATCACCACCACTACCATCATCCTCATCATCACCATCACCATC